ACAGAAGTTCTGATGTGTTACTAAACACTGGCATTTAATCTATGTGTTTTGTCTCATTATGTCTCTGCTATCACTTTTATCAATTACACGTCTTAATTAACGTGGCAAAGGTTGTCACAGTACACATTTTGCTGGCTTTAACTGTAGGTTTGTTACTGCACACACTTCAAAGATTCCTTTAATATTGCATATGTTATTATAATCTATATTTGCAAGTCTCAGCTGTGTCAGAGATTCCAGTCTCATACATTTTCTTTTGGCTGATTCCTGCTTTCTTGTGATAATAAATCATCAACTCAGGAGTCATTGGTTTAAAAATTTGTCTTTGATGTGATCAGGTCAGGATAAAATGCCATGGAGGAAAATGCCATCTGCATCTACTTCATTCTATTAACTGTCAACCAATTCACCATCTACAAAGGCTGCTCCAAAAATACTACCTCCTATTTTATTAAGTTGGCCCACAACATCAGAGGTGAACGTTGGTGATATGACAACAGAGGCTGAACTTTCCTGCCCATATTCCATTACATTTTATTGCCAAGCAACAGATGGCTGCAGAGGGGCAGCCTGACAAAATGACATCTGACATAGAAGTGCGCATGAAGTAAAGATGTGGCACTGAATTTCTCTGTGTGGAAAAAATTGCATCCGCTGACAGTCAGTGATTCTTCCTGAATTCTCATGGAGACAAAAGCACAGTGAGGCATTAGGGGGTGCATTTCAGCAATAGCAAGAGTGACAGTGGGTCACCTCTAGTGGGTTTTATGAGCACAGAATGCAGGGTTCATCACCAGTTCATCACTGGTGAAAAAGGAAAGCTAATGGTGCTGACTATGTTGAAAAATAGTGTTTTGTAACAGAATTAACTCTATCAAATTGTGTTATTGTTCTCTTTCTGTCTGTTGCAGTCTCCATGGAAATAAATAGAAGGCATTATTTTAAGAGCAACCTACTTATCTTCTAGATCATGTCCCCTCCACTAAGATGCAGTTTTCTTTCTTCCTTCTTTTATTACATGCTACCACAAGAGATGCTGACTCTGACTTGTCAATTCATTCATCTTATATTGTTTTTGATTTCCATTCCAGTAAGTTCTTGATTCCGAAAATCTTTGACTGCAACCCCCTTTCCTTGGCATACTTTTCCTTCTGCCAATAGAATTTATATTAACAATATTTTAAAAAGACATTTTTAATGGGAATTATCTCATCTCCCTCCTGTGTTTTGAGGTTTCTTCTGCATCCCCATACTTCCATATTGGTTACTGGTTTTTGTATAAGGATTATTCCTTTAACTACCCTTGTAGGACAGAGGATATGAAGAAGAACTCAAGTTAACTCCTTTTCTAGTCTTTGATTTAGGTAATTTGCATTTGGTATTACTGTATAATTTCCTAGTTAAGCATTATTAGGATTTTTGTCTTTCATTTCCACTGCCTGAAAACAGGTGTGTGCCCATTATATGCTATGTTTCATATTTATGTGTCATAAAGAAGTCATAAAAACAACCTGTTTTTTAGGTGTTTACAGACTTCATCTCTCCTCTCCAGGAATGAGACTATACAAACAACATTAAAGCAATGGCAATCATTAAAAAAAGTTTGAGAAAAAAACAAAGGGTACAATTTAATTTAAAAAAAAAAAAAAAAAAAAAAAAAAAAAAAAAAAAGCCCTCTCTGGCATTCCCAGTTAAAACTCTCTCCACTTTTGAGTCTAATATAATTTTATTCTCCATCTGCCTACGTATAGTATATGTGAAGCTGGGGAGAACTTAGAGTAACTAGGTTAGTCTTGAAGTAGCACAGATGTATCTACTGGTGAGAGAATACTGACATATTCATCCCCATAAGATGTTCTAAGAGCTGGGTTTCTTCCTTCATTCATGCTTCAGTTTTTATTGAATATGTAACAATCTTCTGAAATCCTGGCACCAAAAATATGCTTTTATTCTACTTCAAAAAAATGGCAAATACAAAAAGGCTATTTGAAAGAGTTGGAGATTTCTACATTTGGTATTATTTCATGTTCTCAGCAAAGTTGTGGGGTTTTGTCATAGAAATGATGAAACATGATCAGCCAATTTAACGACTAAAAAAAATTACATAATATGGGGTCCTAAAATGACCACTGCTGTAGGGAACCTGCTTTGGCAGGGGGGTTGGACTCGATGATCTCTGGAGGTCCCTTCCAACCCCTACAATTCTGTGATTCTGTGATTCTGTGATATATTTATCCATCAATGTTCATTCAGTAATGTTTGACTAATTTTCCTAGCTGTAAGTGACTTGTTACTCCTCTGTTATCCATGTTATAATTTGGAGGGTAGCATATTGCAAACCTCAGTATTTCTGTGTACCCTTGGAGAAATCCTAGGCAAACTAATGATTTTCATTTCAGACTTCCATTCCACTCTGCTCATTTCATTGCTTTGAGGCCTTCGTGGTGATCACAAAATGTTTACCCAAGCAAAATAAAACCAAAATGCATCTAAAGTATTCAGAAGTCTATTGTAGTACACTTGGAAAACGCTTAATTTTATTCAACAATGTTGGCTTCACTAAATGCAGATACATTTTACATTCATGTAAGCTCACATTATGAATACTGACACTAAAACTATGTATGATCAGGTCCAGAAATAAAACATTCCTCTTTCTCTAGCTAATCAAAGTGAGCCTAATGTCCATTTTTAAGTCAAAATCTGTAGTAGGATGCCCTGTGGAGCAAAATTCACCATGTGCTTCATTACATGCAACTGCCATTTTTATTTCATCTCAGAATGGAAATGACTATATGATTTCTAGCTTTTGCTTTATTTACTAAAAGCTGACTTCTGATTTCCTAATGCTTTTGGGGTAAAGTTGTTCTGTATGTTTTATTATTTTTATCAGCCTTTCCTCAGCCAAAACCTTCCACAAGTGCATTTTCTGTTTGTATTTTTGTCACTTTGTCACTGTTATCTGTTACATGTCAGATTCAATGGACAGTAATATATGTTTCTTAACTCTGAAGGAATATTTTTCTCTTATGACTTCAAGTTTACATCAAGAATAAATCACACAAAACTGTATAAACTTTTTATATCCAAATTAGTTCATTAAAAAAAGAAGTAATTTATGCTAAAGTTTAAAAATCTATCTGAATCTAAGTTAAATAATAATAATAGCCTGCTCAAAACATAACAAATCTTTCTTTGAACCTTAGAACAGATCTGCTAACGTAGCAACTAATGACTGTGAGGTTTTTGTGTGTATTATTCCCCGGCTCCCTATTAATAGCAATAGTAATAATTCACAGATAAGCAGTACCTGAAATATTATACATATTTGTTAGACTAAATCACTTGTAGGCCTTACTAGAGATAATTCAACATGTACTCAACACTCTACAAAGGTAGTATTGGACCCTAATGCTGACATAAAATTAGGTATCATGTCTAGATAAGTGACTGATGAACATATTGCAGTATTTGTTCTAATGAATGTTGTATATAAAGATGCAGTATAGGAAAGCAATACTAATTAATTAAACATTGCTCAACAGATGTTTGTCAAAAGAATTACGATGAAAGAAGAGGTCAGAATTTCACTGTCCAAGCTACCTTAGCCTGTACCATAAATAAATAGGTGAAAATAACCATAAAAGAGTAACACCTCCCTTATATGACGTATGTGAACAGTCCTTTCTACGGAATAATTCGTCTGAACTCTTTTTAATGTTGATAACTTCAGAAACAAAATCTAATACTTTCAAAATAATATAGGAAGAGTAATAAAATGTCCCTTGTACCAACTTCAGTATGTGTATGGAAGAAAGAAACACTGAAGTGAATACAGAGCAAAGAAGGGAAACAGCAGCATATAAGAATTCTGACCAAAATCAGCCATTAAGCCACTAATGAAAGTAGTGTTGCTTTGTTTTCCCTCTGGTGTAAAATTTAACTCCTGGAATGCACTGTCTTCTAGGTAGCACAATTTGTAAAGCCCATACACAACAATTTGCTAGGCAGTCACAATTTAGTGATCTATTAAAGACTTATCTTTAGGCTCCAGGTCCCTGAGTCCATCAATCAGAGCTAAAGCAATAAAAGCTTACTGAGGGCAGAAGCCTTGGGGCTCATTTTCAGAACAGCTGAGCACCCTCAGCCATCACAGGCATAGCTACAGGTATCTAGCACAATAAAATAAAATAAAAAGATTTCTATTCTGTCTGTTTTATTTCTTTTTCCTCCACTGTCAGTGAAAAAAAAATTGCTTTTGTGTACTTCCAAGTCAACTCTTACATTTCTTCAACTATTCTCATGTTAATTTGTTAAATTCAGAATTGGTCATTCAGTAGTAGTAACTTTTTGTGTGGTCACATCAAAGAACTTCCAAAAACTGAGAAGAGAAGGTATGAGCTAGGAATAGCCAAGAAATTTATGCCATTGTGAAAATGGGAGCTCACAAGAAGTGGGACAGCTCCTTGTCTTGCCACTGAACCTACTTACCACTGAACTGAGCAAGAGAATACTTGTTAATAATTCATGAAAAAAACCTGTGTTCAGAATTGAAACCGAAGACTTTTGAAACAGGGACTAAATTTTCACAAGGGGGAGTTACAGTACTTAAATTTACATTTCAAATGTGCCTTTCTCTACCCAAAGATATAGAAGTGTTTACATCTAGGATTATGACTTAAACCAGTTTATGGACCTGAACCGTGCCTAAAATTCAGATCCAAAACCAACAACTGCAGTTCAGAGCTTAAAAATATCCAGATGTTGTATGTTTATTTGGTCACTGGAGTACATGCATGATTGCATACAAGCCCCACTAGCTGAATGTATGAGTGTTGCTCTGAAAGTAATGCCTCCCATTATGTTGGCCCTTGACATCAGAGGCAGATGTTGGTAGTATGGCAGTAGAAGTTGAATCTTCCCACCAGTTTTCCATTGTATTTTATTGCCATGCAACAGATGGGGGGGTCTGACAAATTGTCATCTGACATGGACGTGCATATGAAGTAAAGGTGTGGCATGGTATTCCTCTATGCGGAAAAAAAAATTGCACCCATTGACATTCATCCATGCTTGCTGAACATTTATGGAAACCAAAACATGGATGTGAGCACAGTGAGGTGGTGAGTGGTGCATTTCAGCAGTGGCAGCAGCAACGTGAAAGACAAGCCCAGTTCTGGATAGCCATGCAGATTTTAACGAGCATGGCATGCAGGCTCTTTTTCATTGCTGGTGAAAGTGCAATAGCTGGCAAAAGTGCATAGCTAATGGTGGTTACTATACTGAAAAACAGTGTTTCGTAACTGAGAATTTGCTCCATCAAATACTCTTATTGTTATATTTCTATTTGTTGTAGTTCCCATGGAAATAAATAGGAAGAACTACTTTCAGAAAGACTGAAGCCCCAGTTGCTATATTGAGTTGAAGATGCATTCTGGTCAGCTAGAAAGCTTTTCTTCACAGTGGGTGAGTATGTGATTGCCAAAAATCCTGAAACATGTGCAAAATTAATGTTGCCAGTTCCTCCACTCTTCCTATTTTTTTCATGACGATAATATTTCTCCAACTCCTCAAATGAGAGTCTCAGTTTTCATTATCTAAAAAAACAGATTTCTAGTTATTTCTATTGCAAAGGAAATTTTAAAAGTTTTAAAATGAGATTTCAGGGCACTCTAACAGTTTGGAACAAATAAAAGGAACTTATTACTTTTTTATTATTTTGATTTTTAAAACTTGTTAAAAATTCATCTGGGAAATCTGCTTTACTGTTTGCTAATGGTTAAGATTGGTTGTGAGAAATACACAAAGGCTTCTTCATGTCAGAGAGTGGGAACACCAAGAGAGATACATAAGATATTTATAGAAGATATTTTGGTCTTCTATGGAAGGACACCTCTAAACTAAAAAATACAAATAGCCACTGGGAAGAAAGCTGCTGTGACCTGCCTTCTCTTTGTTTTATTTTCCTTTCAGCTGAGAAAAGAAAGCACACATTGTAGGCCTGTATGAACTGTGCAGCTTGCATCATATACACAATCAGTGAGGTCCTAGCTGGAGGCTAGCTAGAAGACAGATAGCACGTGGAGAATGAGCTGAAAAAGGGATGTAAAGCCACTATGAATTTGTTCCTGACCAGCCGACTGTAAAGACAACAAAGTCAAAGACCAGAAATCGTTCAATCTCTCAGACACCAAATGCCAGGGTAAAAAGGGCAAAGTGGAAAGTCCTTTGGAGTAGAGAAAATTTGATTTAATTGGTAACATTAAATCCAATTCATTTTACTGAAATGTTAGAATCACAAGTGTAGGTCTGGAAAAGAGAAGTAAGTAGGTGTTGTGATGTGTTACATGACAGAGAAAGTGTTTCTTGTAGAATAAACGAAGACACTGCACAGCAGTTTCTGCATGTTATGGTATACAGATCAACATGCCAATAAAGACCAAGAGAGTCTAATAACAGGGTATGATATAGTCAACAAAATCAGCTTGGTGAATATGGTAAGACAACCTCTTGTAATGGTATAAAATATAATTTGGTTGAGCAGGACGTTGCCATTAACAAATGAGGTTAGATGTCCTGTCTGATTAAGATGATAATTGTCCACAGAGTGTACACAAGTTGACTTTGTTTTGGGAGAAGCTGTGGAATAAAGAGTTAGAAATCATGTCTATGATAGAGTCAGTTGCCTATAGCTAGCTTTCAAACTGTATAAAAGTTACTTAGGGCTCAGCTGTCTCTTTGCTAGGTTCTACTCTGAGTTCTGAAATGATTACAGAATACTACCAGCTTGCTAAACAATAACCGATAGGATGTCCATGGATGTTAAAATCCATGTTGCTTACTTTGTTTATCTTAATCCAGAATGGCAAATGATGGTTGGCCAGTGTACAGTAGAACAACCCAATAAGGACTGTGCTATATGCCCCAGATTGAGTTGTGTCTTGGTTAAATCTTTTCAGTTATCATATGGAGCATGCAGGCAGTATACATGTCCCCACACAAAACATTTGAAGACAAAAACATAAAACATCTCTATTTAAAAACAATTGCCTGCCATGAAATCAGTGTGGGGGGGGGGGGGGGGGGGGGGGGGGGGGGGGGGGGAGAGGGGGGAGCTGGGGGGGGCACGAGTAAAAGGGTG